CCTCCCCGCGCTTCCTCTCCGCCCACCGCGCTCCAGCCGCTCCGCCGCAGCCCGCGCTGTCCTCCGGCCCCCGGAGCCGCGCCGCCAGCCCCTCGCCCAGCCATGGGGGACCTGCCGGGCATCGTGCGCCTCTCCATCGCGCTGCGCATCCAGCCCAACGATGGCCCGGTTTTCTTCAAGGTGGACGGGCAGCGCTTCGGCCAGAACCGCACCATCAAGCTGCTCACCGGCTCCTCCTACAAGGTGGAGGTGAAGATCAAGCCCACCACGCTGCAGGTCGAGTGAGTGCGGGGCGCGCCGCGGCTGCAGAGTGGCACGCGGGGTCCGGGCGGAGGACAGAGGCCCCAGAGTCAGCCCCAGCCTCTCCAAGGGCCCTTTCGCCTCGCGCGGCTCTGGGCCAGCCCGGAGGGTGGGGACAGAGATCGCTCCCGGTTCCCCCACATTCCTTCCCCGGCCTTCGCTGGTCTTTCCTCGATTCTCGCTTCCCTCCCCACCCGTTGCGGTGACCTCGGTGGGTCCGTTTAAATCAAGGACAAGAAACTAGGATTTTGTTTGCTTGCTTTTTTTTTTCCTGGCAAATTTTTCATCCCTCTGTCCAGCCTTCTACCCGGAACCGCAGGCGGCTGGCCGGGGTGGGGCAGGTGGAGAAGCTCCTGCCGGGCTCCCCTAACGCAATCCCAGCCCTCGGCTCCTGCGTCCTGGCGCACAGCCAGGTTCTGCCCTCGAAGGAGAAAGGCTGAGGAATGCGGTGTAACGGCGGGAGAGGTGTGGCTTTGGGGGTTCCCTGAGGTGCTCCCCACCCCTCCACCCGCCCTTTCATGACTTGAGACCACCCCAGGCTGGAGCAGACCCAAATTAAAGGGGCAGCCATTTGGGCCCCCGCCTAGTTTCACGGTTTTCCATGCCTGTGCATTTTTCTCCCCAGTGGTCTGTTTAGCCCAGTGCTGATGGTGCCTGAGATTAGAAACATCCTCGGAAGAGGATGTTTTTGGTTTATTCGTGGTAGGGATTATCTCTTCCAGCTACATCAGGATCATGTTCCCAGCAGACCTCTGATGGGCAAGTCTGTGTGGAAGCTCTAGGTAGCCTCCGGGAAAGGATTCATGGCTGGGTTCTTCCACCTCTCAGCTTCCATCCTACCACTGGAAGGTCTAGTCCTGCAAAAAGGAAGCAAGTCCAGCATTTATGGGATCTACCATTTGCTAGGCGTTCCTGGAGGGAGAGGGCTTTGAATCCATCAGACACCTTTGACAGCTTAAATTTTAACTTAATACATTTGTTTGTGCCTTCTAGGTGCCAGGCCCTAATGCAAGGACCTGAAACCAGACCTGGATGGTTTCTGGTGCTCCTGGTCCACCTAACTGTCATCCCCAGCCCCCACCTCCAAACAGCCCTCACGCTCTGCTCTTCCCAGTGTTCTGTGCACCTGGATCCAGGCTTTTCCATTCCCTTCTTTCCTGGCAACCTCGTCAGCCAAGTTCTCTGTTCCATACTCCATTTTCTTCAGGGTAGTTCTCTAGTTTCCAAGCTAATCTGAAGCTAATTTGTTAGTTACTGTTTTTTTCTAGTTACACTTTAATGTTTAAAATAATTGTTTAATTAATTGTATTTATTTTTTTTATTTGACTATAGAAAGATAGAGAAAGTAGGAAAGTGAGAAAGCAAGCCACCAGGTCCGGCACTCCAACCGCAGTAAGCCATGTGGGAGTCCGATGCCTGAAGCACTATACCATCTGCCAAGTTATAACTCAATTTTATCAAGGACTTTTCAATGCCCCAATTCTGTGGTTCTCCAGCCTAAGTGTGTATCAGAATCACATGAAGGTCGGTTCAACTGCAGGTGGCTGGGACCCACCCCAGACTTCCTGGTTTACTATGTTTACGGTGGGGCCCAAGTCATTGGTTTTTGTTTTGTTTTGTTTTGTGTTTTGTTTTGTTTTTGGAGAGGTTTTTGCAATAGGGCGCATGCACTCACCAGACAGACAGAGACAGACAGAGAGACATAGAGACAAAAAGCGAGAAATCACCCCCCAGGGGGGATGGCCACACCGCAATCCGTTCTCCTCCATTCACCTCCAAATTAAGATCACTCAAGCAACCTTAAAATAAACTTTCCAGTGCCCAAATCACATCTCAGACCATTTGAATTTTAATTTCTTGGGTTTGGGGTGGGACTGGATATTCATCAGTTTTAATAGCTGCACAGATTATTTTAATCAGTGAATAACAAGAACAACTGGGGCCAGCAGGTGGCGTGGTCATTGAGGTGCTGGACTTCCACATGGCTGACCACAGTTTTCAAGTCCCAGACCTGGCAGTTTGTTTTCTCTTTCTCTCTCCCTCTCTTTCTCCCTCTCTTTCTCTCTGTCTCCCCGTAGCAAATTGGACAGTAATAATAATAAATAGAATTAAATAATTTTAAAACAAAGAGAGAGAAAACGACCAGGGCCAGCTGGATGGCACAGAGGTTAAGGCAGCTGGATTCCACATGAATGACTCCATGATTAGAGTTCTGGATCCAGCAGCTTGAAAAACACATCAGGTGCATGTGCGTGCATGCTCAAAATCCTGAGAAGAGAATGGAGGAGAAGGAATTGCAATGTGGTCATCCCCCTGAGGGGTGATTTCTCATTCTCTTTCTCTCTGTCTCTCCTGCAAGCACATGCACCCCATAGCAAATTTAAGAACAAACAAAAAACACAAGAGTTTTGCTCAGCTTGTCAGAATATTCTGCATGAGAACACTACAGTCAGTCCAGAGGATTTAAGTAGTTTGTCTAGCATAGAAAGACTAGTTAGTTGAACTTCCTTCCATATGATAGTGTCTTCCTATAGCCAAACCCTGTAGGTTTCCTACTGTCTCCGTCTGTTTTCTGTTACGATAACAGCGTAGAAACTTGGTAATTAATAAAGAACAGAGATGTACTTGACTCACATCTTGGAGACTGGGAATGCCAAGGACATGGGGCCAGCATCTGCTTAGCATCTGCTGAGAGCTTGTTGCTGCACCACAGCTTAGCAGGTGGTGTCACATGGAGAGAGCAACCATCTAAGCTTGTGGCTCTGCCTTCTCTTACAAAGTTACTAATGCCGCCATTGGAGCCCCACCCGCACAACTTCATCTAATCCTAAGTATCTCCCAAGCCCCCACTCTTTAGTACTGTTACAATGGGGATCAACTTCCAACATGATTTTCAGCAGAAATATTCAAACCGTAGCACCTGCATAGGGTTTTGGTCCAGATTAGGATGGGGTGCTTCAGCTAATTCCTGCCATATGTACTCAACTCAAGTCCATTGCAGGAACATTTCCATTGGTGGTGTCCTCGTCCCATTGGAACTGAAGTCTAAAGAGCCTGATGGGGACAGAGTTGTTTATACGGGCATATATGACACAGAAGGCGTGGCACCAACCAAGAGTGGAGAACGGCAACCCATTCAAATCACCATGCCGGTAAGCCTGCTTGGGGCGTGGGTGTGTGGTTTTGGGGCAAATGAAAACCATGGAAAAGAAGACAGTCACTCTAAAGGCCAGCAGGTGGTGTGGTGGTTAAAGGCACTGGACGCCCACGTGGACGGCCACGGTTTGAGTCCTGGACCTGGTGCCTTGCTTTCTCGCTTTCCCTCTCTCTCTCTCTCTCTCTCTGATCAAACTTGAAAATAAAAGTAATAACCTCTCTCTCTGATCAAACTTGAAAATAATAGTAATCATAAATTAAATTGAATTAAATAATTCTTTTTTAAAAAAAGGCTTATAAGGAGCCAATTGATCTGCTTGAGTGAGCACAACATAATTAGTTCTCTTTCACATGACAGATTGACCCTGTCGTTGCTTAAAGACACCTTATAAGTAGAAGCAGATGGTTCTGGGAGAGATACACTGCCATTTTTCTTACATTAGGAGTGGTTAGATAGTTAACCTAGAAAAAGTTCAGATTCCCATAGTCTTTTGGTTATGAGAAAACTGGTCAGTGGTACTTTGCAACTTAAATCTGCTTTAAATGTAGGAGCCCAAAAAGTGACTGTTAGGGAAAATAATATACTTCTTAGTATCTAGACCTACCAGGTATAATATTTTAATTTTTTAATTTATCTTTCATTGCCAGAGGACACATGTTCTTGCCAGAGAGAGAGACAGAATGAGAAAGAAGAGAAAGCACCCCCCACTGGGCGTGGTTACACCATGATCCTTTCTCCTCCATTTCCCCATCCTGTTGGGGTTTTGGGCACATACACTTTGTGTTTTTCAAGTATAGGGGCCAGGATCGGAACAACAGTCAGCTATGTGCGATACAGCTCCCTTAACCACTAGGCCACAGAGCCAACCTGGCAATAATATTTTAAAATATTTTTATTAACATAACAATTGTTACAATGAGATATTTTTCAGTACATGAATGCAATGTGTAATGATCAAATCAGTGTAATTAGTATCCCCATCATCTCAACCATTTGAAATATTTTATACAGTGAATTTAAAACAATATCGGGGGACCAGCAGTTGGCGGAATGGCTTCGTCGCTGACTCCCACAGAGTCAACTATGGTTTGAGTCTCAGACCCAGTGGCTTAAACTCACACCGGGTATGTGTGCCTGTGTGCCCAAGATCCTGAGAGGAGAATGGAGGAGAAGGGATTGCAGCGTGGCCATCCCCCCGGGGGGTGATTTCTCGCTTTCTGTCTCTCTGCCTCTCTCTATTTTTCTGGCAAGCACACGCGCCCTATAGCAAAATCTTCTTAAAAAATATTTATAGCCAGATGATACTGACTTCAAAGTTAAAAAAAAAAAAGATAAAAAAGAAAGGATAGAATTGACAAATAGATTTAATTATGTGCAAACATAGTAGGTAATAAAGTAAACCTGCTAAACCATAGGAAAGGAAGTCTCGCCTAAATGACCACTGTGAAAACTAGGCAGACTTTTTCCCAAGTACAATTTGGAATTGTCTGCCTTCTAGCTTTACAAGAAAGATCACAGAGGTTCCCAGATACTAGTGCACTTAAGAATTTCCGCAGGACTGGCCCTGTAGCACAGACGTTAAGCCCCGTACGTAGAAAGCTGGATCCCACATGACTGACAATGGCCCTGTTAGCTTGTGAAACATGTCAGGTGCTTATGCGTGCATGCCCCAATTGATGAGTGCATAGAGAAATTGTGGGGAAAGGATTGTAGCATGACCACACCACATTGGGTGGGTGTGCTCAGACGCTCTCCCTCTTTCTGGTGAGGTCACATACCCTCTGGCCAAAAAAAAAAAAAAAGGAATTTTTATGAGAGTTTGTTTAAAATGCAAGTCCTAGGTCCCACCTCCAGTGATTTCCAGGTCAGTAAAACTAAGTTGGAGCCAAAGAAACTGACGTTTTAACAGGCATACTGAAGGATCTTGGTGGGAATGGTCCATGCAACACACTTGGAGAAGCACTGATGTAAAAGCCAAACCACACAGTCTTTTGAAACCCTCAAGTGTTCATAGTGCCCAGTATACTTAAAATAACCACAGCAGTAGCATAAGGAAATAATCTAGCAGCTTGTTTGTTTTGTATCTTATATTTGAACTGTTTTTTGTATTTTCCATCAAAGAATACTCAACAGGGAAAAATACAAAAATGAAGGAAACATGTAGTTCCTGTGACACATGGTGACTGCTAACATTTTTGTGAATGGTCTTAGAAGGTAATTTGTACTGTCTTTGATTATAGGTGTATGTATTGGGTCTTATTCTCTATATATACTTTTTTGTACTTGTGTACATCCTTGGATGTCAAATATAAACCTAAGATTATATTTTTAAATGTTAAAGTCTGTATGGGTACTCTATTGTATGAAGATAACAAGTTATCCTCAGTCACCTATTGCCAATTATTTCTATGTCTCGGTATTATAAGGAAAATCACATTAAAAATCACTTACTTCTGCACAATTGTCTAACACTTTGTTGAGTTATATTCCCAGAAGAAATTTAATGGTAAGGCATTTTATAAGTACTGCCGAATTGACCTCAAGAAAGACTAGATAATTAGTTTTTACTCCCATTATCAGTATTTAAGCGTCCATCTCCCTCTGCAGGAATAATCATTTTAAAGTATTTTAATCTGATAGGCTATGTTAATTTTTATTTCTTTAGTTACTGTTAATTTGAAATCTTCACATGTCTAGTCATCATTTGCATTTTCCTTTGTGGATTATATGTTCATAGCTTTTACCCATTTTTCTACCCAAGTATGTCTTATTGACTTTAAGACATCTTTATAAATCAAAAATAGCCATGTCTTTTACTACTTCTTGAGTGTATTCATCATTTATTATTTGTTCTTTAACATTGTTTGTAATATAAATTTAAATTCAAGTCAGCCATTGGCATAGTGGTCAAGACAGCTATTGGGTTAACAGAAGACATAATGTATTTTTCTGTTTTTCTATGACTGACTGCATGGTTTGAGTCCCAGACCTGACACCTTGAAAACATACCAACCTTGTGTGCATGCTCAAAAAAATCTGGAGAGGAGAATGGAAAAGAGATTGTGGCATGACCATCCTCCATACGGTTTCTTTCTCACTTTTCCTCTTCCTGTCCCTCTCACATGTAGTCTCTAGAAAATTTAATATAAAATTTGTATATTGTTCATCATATCAGCCTTTTCCTTTATGGATTTTGCAGTTAGGACCCAGCTTGGAAAGTCTGATTAATTATGCATACATATAAACACAGCCACATTTGTGTGTTTCCTGAACTCTCATAATCTTATTTGTTAAATTTCAGATGAATTAGATATTTAAATATTATTTTAATTCATACTTTTATATTAGAATGTATGTCAAAATATCCTAATATAATTATTTGACTAATCCATTCTGCTCTAAGAAATTTAGTTGGTTTTGTAGTAATTTCTTTTTATTTTTTAAAGAATTATTTTATTTAACTTCATTTATTTTCATTTGACCAGAGAGAGAGAGAGTGAGTGAGAGAAGGTGAGAAGGCAAGCTGCCGGGTCCAGGACTCGAACTGCAGTCAGCCATATGGGAGTCCAGTGCCCTTAACCACCATGCCACCTGCTGGTCCCTCATAGTAATTACTTATATGTCAAAAAATTTGAGAGACATTTTCAGTACTTTATAATCTATTCCATTAATCTGGCATGTTTTATTTTATTTTATTTTATTTTATATTTTATATTTTGCCTTAGAGCATGTATGCTCACCAGAGAGAGAGGAAAAGTGAGGAATTACCCCTTAGGGGGATGGCCACAATGCAATCCCTTCTCCTCCAGGCTGCTCTTAGGATTTTGAGCATGCACACAGGCCGAGCTTGTTTATCAGGTCGCAGGGTTTGGAACTTGAACTGTGGAGTCAGGCCATGTATGATCCAGTGCCTTAACCAACATACCTGCCTGCCCCAGGGAGGCCTTTTTTGAGAGAGAGATTTTTACTATAGGGTATGTGTGCTCACCAGAGAGACAGAGACAGAGACAGAAAGTGAGAAATCACGGGGGCGGGGAGGGGGGGAGAAGGGGGGAGACACGGATGGCCACGACGCTGCAATCCCTTCTCTGCCCCCAGGGTCTGGAGCTACTGGAACTAGAACCAAGATCAACTTCATGGGAGTCCAGTGACCATTACGCCATCTGTCGGTCCCCAGGGAGGGCTTCTCCTTTTTTCTTTTTTTTTTCTCTTTTTTGTTATAGGGCACGTGCGCTCACCAGAGAGACAGAAAGCGAGAAATGACCCCCCAGGGGGGATGGCCACGCCACAATCCCTTCTCCTCCATTCTCCTCTCGGGATCTTGGGCACGCACGCACACGCGCCCGGCGTGAGTTTTAAGCCACCGGGTCCGGGACACGAACCGCGGTCGACTACGTGGGAGTCCAGCAACATAGCCATTACATTAACTGCTGGTCTCAAGAGTATGTTTTTAATAATATTAATCTTTAATAGAAATATTGACCAAATATGAAAATATTTTCTGTAAGAAGAAATAAAACTAACGTGGAAATATTTATTCTGAGCCAGCTGGTGGTTAAAGCAACTATAGTCTCCTACATGGCACACTACAGTCTGAGTCCCAGACCTGGTGACTTGAAAAATACACTGGGTTGGGACCAGCAGGTGGCGTGGTGGTTAAGGCACTAGACACTCCCACATGACTGACCAGGGTTCAAGTCCTGAATCTGGTGGCTTGCTTTCTCACGTCTTCTCTCTTTCACTCTCACCCTCTGTCTCTCTCTGGTCAAATTTTTAAAAATCAGGGAATGAATAAATAAAATAAAATAAATAATTATTTTTTAAAAAAGAAAGGAAAGAAAAACACACTGGCATGTGTGCATGTGTGCCCAAAATCCTGAGAGGAGAATGGAGGAGAAGGGATTGCCTCATGGCCATCCTCCCTGAGACGTGATTATTCACTTTCCCTCTCTCTCTCTGGCAAGTGCATGCATCCTATGGCAAGAACAAAAAAGA